ACAGCACATGAATTCGAAATCTGACAAAAACAATTTAATTTTTTTAGGATATATTGTAAAAAAACATTTTGTTACTTAAAATATAACTAAAATTATATATATATATATATATATATATATATATATATATATATATATATATATATATATATATATATATATATACTTTTTGCTTAATTTTTATGACAAACTTAATTTTAACCGTTTATGGTTTCTGAAAGCTGATTTTGGGGATCCACATTCAAAATTTCTTAAATAAAATAAACAGATAATGAAAGAAATTATTTTGCACTGCTGAATTTTATATACAAAAAGTTTTAGAACCACTTATAGATAATGGTAATACACCGATTTTTGGCCCAAATTTCGAGCAATATTTCAATTTTTTGCAATTTAACCCGCTCCAGGAGGTTTAAAAGTGACTTAATTATCAAAGAAATTTGACAAAACGTTAAAAAAAATTTAATTTTTAAATTTCTCTTGGAAATTTTGAATGTGGGACCCCTGAAACAGCTGTCAGGAACCTTGTGGTAAATTAAACTGTGAAAAAATTATCGTCACCATAAAAAAACAAAGTAAAAAGTACATTTTTATATTAAAAGCTCCATTTATTATAAAAATTTTCAAAAATAAATACATAAACGTCTTTTATGATATCTTATCTTATGTCCCTTTTTCAATAGTATGAATCGTTTCTATTATTTTTTCCAATGCCAAATAAGATGAAGCAGGCAAATCTATAAAATAAATATATCATATGAAAAAAAGAGTTAAATATCTCTTATTTGAGATACCAATTATCAAATTCTAACGGGTAGTTTTTCAAAGTATATTGATGGACTACCTGTCCAATAAGTTGAATTTAAAACTTAAATTATAGACAATTCAAAAAATATAATTTGATGCTTTCAGTAGATTCTCATTCACTAAGGTCCCTACATTTTAAATTCACTTAAAGAATATTATTCAGTCAAGACCATGTATGATAAAATTTATGTTTCTAGGTTGAATATTTTAGAAAATTCAAAAAGTAGCATTTATGAGATAAAAAGTACTAAAAAGTTCTTTCTTAAATAATCTTATTCAATGAGGACCGTGTATGTTTAATAATCATGTGTTTTGAATTCATATTATAAAACATACAGAGTATCATTTAAAGAAAGAAAAAGTACCAAAGTGGAGTAAATTCTACCTTAGTGGAAAGTACTAATAAAATAGTACAATTTTTCGCCTTTTCGCTTAGAAATATACTTTTTTGAGAATTATGTTTACAAAATGTTCCGTATTTAACGGCTGTATTTATAAAAACTTACTTTAGGTTTATTAAACAATTTTAGGCAAAATTCAGGAAAATCGTATTTATAAACGTGAAATAGCTTAAAACACCTTCAATAAACCATTGACAATTAGAAGAATTTTATTGTAAGCTCGACCCTTCTTTAAGCCAACAATAACTTGATTTTTAACAATTTTTTTCTCAGATAAAGATTTTTCCGGTAATTTTAGGTTGATTGCGAAAACTAATTATGGTTTCCTTTAAAATAAAATCTAAAAATTCTAATTTTAACGTTTACAAATTTGTAAATAAAATCCCAGAAAATTTTTAAACGATTATATTTTGAGGAAAAAACTCAAATCTAGGCATTATTGGATTAATGCATGAATATTTGACAATATTCCAATTGTCCAGCACTATTTTTAGGCAATTTGGAAATGCCCGTCTGTCAACCAAATGATGGACAAAATCATTTGATTTGGCTTTTTCAAAGTTTGTTGGTTAAATATAATGCCATAAAGTAATTAACCAAGTAAATTATATTGATTAGTGTTATACTAATGCAAAATATATTCGCCGGCATTAAAATTAGTCAAATATCAAAGAAATTTATCAATATTTGCAAAAATTTATCAAAAATTACAAGGAAAATAAGTAAAAATAAGAAAATGTGTCATAGTGATGTATATTTTGTCGCAAAATATCCGTTATTCGGATACTTTTAATAATAATTAGAAATCATATGTTATATTTATACATCTGAACTAAATAGACATTTATTAAAGCCATATATATATTTATTTTTCTTAAAAGTTTGTTTTTATTGTCAAAAATCTATTATAAACAAAAATATGAAATTAAGAAAACCGAATCAACGAATATTTTATCCTAATTGTACGCAACACTAACACATAAAATGACAGCCATATTGTACAGTGCTGCCAACTTAAACATAAATCAGCACAATAGTTAATATACGTTTATTATTTGTTTATGAATAACATAATTTTATTAATGGTTTTTAAGGCTAAAGTGTGCTTTAACTATTGAGTGCATTAAAAGCAAAATAAGATTTTTTTATAAATACAAGCGTAAATCTTTTTATCACAGATAAAACTCAAACGATTCAAATCGGCATTCATTTGTTCCAGAAAAATTGTACTTTCAAAAAGGTGCCAAACAATTTACTCAAAATTGATACTATATAGGCCTTAGTACTCGAATTCCAAAATAATATACAAATAGCTTATTTTGTGTGAGTAAATAAACTACTTTTTGAAATTTTATAAAAATTGGCTCAATGATTTGAATAAAATTAAATTTCCCGTTTTTTTCCTTTTTGGTACTTTTTCCCCAGTGAAATAGTAAAGCTTTTGTTTCAATAAATATTACAGAGTTAGTCCGTAATTAAATAGGAATACTTCAATAAATCGAAAAAGTTTTCTTAATGTGCTAAAAAAAAACTACCAAAAATACAGTTTTCTCCCTTTTACACCCAAAAAGGGCTGCATTTTAAAAAAAGTACGAAACAGATGTCTCCTAATTTTGGAAGATATATCGAGGGACTATATTCAATAGTCTCTATCTAAAATAATACAAGTTTTCAGGAGAGCAAAAAAACTGTTTATTTCGCTAGTTCGTGAAGATTTTTTAATTTTTTCTTTTACAATATATTTCTAAACCATTATATAAAAAGAATTTTAATTTTTTGCATTATTTACAAAATTATTCACAAATTTATATTAGATGGAGCTTATTTTTCTACGAATATGTTCATTCAACCAACAGATAGAGAGTTTTTCATGGAAACATAAAATTTTTTATACAATTTAATGGAGGAAAAGAAACCAAATTGTTGAAAAAGCAACAGATTATAATGTTTTGGTCCAAAATCAATGTTATATGGTTAAACACGACAATAAAATTGATTTAATTAGTATCATAATGAGCGATATCTCAAAAACTATTAGACCGATTTTAAATATTTTGACGGATTTGTGTTCAGCATGTCCAAATTATTAAGAAGACTTGTTTTGCAACAGAAAATTATCCAAAGGGATCGAGTTTGAAGCAATTTTTGGATAAGATAGAGAGTTTTGCATTCAGAATTTTTCTTTTTTTAAGATAGAGAAATTTAAAAAATGCTATAAAATTGCCAAAAAATATTTTTTTTTTCTTTGAAATTTATATCACTGATGCGCGATAGTTTGCTGAATATTTTGCCATCAAAATCTCATTTTCATAAAAATGACAGATAGCGACTATTGAATATAGTCCCTCGATATTCAAAATATTTACAAAAATGTTATTTTGTTTATTAGTTAAAAAGTTATAAAGGGCCTAAAAAGGTACCAAAATCACCTTTGTTACACATTTTCACCCCTTAAAAGTACGAATTTCAAAAAAGTATCACACATCCATCTGCTTATTTTAGGAGTAGATACATGTGCATTTAAAATTTTTCTTGTATCACAAATATTAGGTATAGTGTTTATAAAAAACCGGTTTTTCGGTTAACCTAAAATTGACCATTTCTAAAAAACCGGTTCGTCAAAAAACCGGTTAACCAAAATGTTTGGAAATCTATAAAATATTTAATATTTAGTTGAAAAATTTCATTTTGCCAAATATTATGAATTACTTAATAAGATATTTGCACTTTTTAGTATAGATATGTACATTAATATATCATAAGAAAGCGAACTTATACAGATCTGAAGTTATTATTGATTCGTCGATTCATCGGGAACGGAATTAGACGACGACTGTCTCGATAGACATTGAGCCCCTGCTTTAATTGTGACCTACCTCCGCTCGCTACGCCTGTGGTTGTTCAAATTACTGTGAATGACACTTAGGAATATTGACACTTAGGACATTCTTACTTCCTGTTAATCAACCTAAGCGCCATTACAGTTTGTGAAAAACTCCAGCAGCATAAATTCTCGGACAGCGACAATAACCCTTATGTTTCGATAAATAAAATCCGTTTTGAGAACGTTTGAGAAACTTCTCGATTTTTATTATACTTACGCAGTAAATAAGGAAGTGCATTTCATAATCAAAGTTATTTATTCGTCTTAATAAATAACAAATTTCTTCATATAATGGTTGGAATTTGTTTAAATAGTTAATTTTTTATTGGTTTAAATGCCAACTTTTTACTAATTTCCTGATTGTCTGAAATTGTAAATCTCCATTTTATATGCATAGTACCTATATGTTTAACATTTCCTAACATTTGTTTAACAATCTTATCTATCCAAAATTTTTAAAAATCACAATGAAAAATCAAAGAAAACATACAATTTTGTACTAAAAATTAGATTTTTTTGAAACCGGTTAACCGAGACTTAAAAACCGGATAACCCGGTTAACCGAAAACCAATGTTTAAAAAAAACGGTTTGCAAAAAACCGAAATATGCAATAAAAACCGGTTCTTCGGTTAACCGGTTTATAAACACTAATTAGGTAAGATAATTAAGAAAACCTGTTTTACCCGATGTTTACCCTTTTTACCCCTAAATGTACAAATTTCCAAAAATCCCTCCTTAGTGGATCTATATAACCTAAAACACATCTAGTGTCAAAATTTCATGATTCTAGGTTCAGCCGTTTGGGCTGTGCGATGATGAATCAGTCAGTCAGTAACGCTACTCTTTATATATATAGATTCCATTTACAATATTTTAATAATTTGTTTATATATTTTATATTTTTTAGTGAACACCGTCAACAACCTTCCAAAGCCAGTGCCAAAAATAACGGAAGCAGCAACTAAGAGGTCATTAAACTTGGAGGACTACAAAAAAAAAAGGGGTCTTATTTAAGAAATGCTGTTAATAAATATGTATTATCTTACATAGTTTAATAAAATAAAAATTGAGTATCATATTATAAAACAAAAATTCGTTAAAGTATTATTAAAAGAAATGTATTTATGTATGTACATGTATTGGACTATAGCTATTGTTTGACTTCGTAGTTGATTTTAACATATTCTTTTAGTTTAGCAGAGAAAATATGAATATTTTATTGAAAATTTTCTGATTGTTGGAGCGATTTTTTTTAATTTAATTTTTGTTGTATATATTGAACTATTATTTTCTTGGGTGTAAAGAGAGAACACTCCACTTTTCTTATATTTATGAATAACTAGCTATACCCAGTGTGCTTTGCTACCCTAAAAGCAAAAAAATGTTCACATTAATGTCAAAGTTTCTTCATGTAAAATTTGAAGATTTTAGCTTCTTCAGTATCTCAGATATGCAAATTTTTCTATATAATTCATATGGGGGTTCCAAGCCACTCCCTGATGAATGTCCGCTTTTTTTCCAAAATGTTCAAATGAATATGAAAGTCCTTTGTGTAAAATTTTAGGCATCTAGTTCTGTTAGTTTCTTAGATAAATTTTTTTTGTATTTAATATGGGAGGTGCCTCTCCCCCATTGGTAGTCCGCCAATTTATTACCCAAAATATTTACGTGGATGCTATAGTTCTTCGAGCAAAATTTGAAGCTTTTGACTCTAATAGTTTCCAAGATAAACGAATTTTTGTATTTTATCAATATGGGAGATGCCACGTGGCTCTACTATGTGGCTCCGACAAAATTTGAGGACTCTAACTGTTATATTTTCTGAGATATACTGATTTAATATTTTCTTAATATGGAAGGTGTCGCGCCCATTTTGTCCAAAAATAATCTTATGGATGTCAAAGTTGTCCGTGCAAAATTTGAGGACTTTAATTGTACCAGTTTCCAAGATATACCACTTTTAATAGTTATTTAATAACTCAAAATAAAAAGTAACCTATTTTTCCTTGCAGGCCACAGTGGGGCAGAATGGAAATTTTTTGGAAATAAATCTGGCATTTCTAAACGGGATAAAATTTGGCGTGAGCGTAGCCAAGGAGTATTCGAGTATAAGTTTTGAAGATGAACCCTGCAGATGCCCTAGGGACGGCGCTGTGGCGGCTCAAAGTAGGGTACCTACGACATGTAAAATTTTTAAACTCGTGCCATTTTTTTGTTTTTCACCCAAAACAAAAAAATCGACGAGATCTTGAAAAAACATGCTTGGACATACTACTTATCTCTTATAATATCCGAGTTATAGGCATTTAAAAATTTAGTGATACAAAATTTACCATACCTTGGTCCGCCTTTTTTTGAATACCGGGCGTAATTTTGGACCAAATGGACTCAATTTTTTTTTGTTAGTTAGACAACAAAATTTCCAATAATATACAAAAAATTTCAGATCAATATCATTTACAGATCCAAAAATATACGTTTTTTAATTTAAAAATTCAAAAAATTTTAGATTTTTGCCGTTTTTTGCCAAAAATGTGTCTTAACTCTTTTATTAATAAAATAAAATTTTCTTTAAGAACATATAACAATTTTATAGTTTTCTAAAAGGTATCTTTACGCAGAACGCTTTTGCGTAAAAAACTTGTCCTATTTTTTGAAAATGTTGCCACTGCGTCCTTCCGAATATGACCTATTTTTTATCAAAACTTCAACTTTGGGCGACATGTTCTAAAATCCCAAAGCTGGGATTAGAAAACTGAAAGCAGTTTTGGAAACCTCCTAAAACCCCCTAAAAAATCCCATTTTTGGGATTTTCATTCCTAATTTTGGGAATTGCGGGATGCCCTTTGACCTTTTCAATTTTTTTTTGCATTTTCTTATTTGAAATGACAAATTTAACAAGCGTTGAAAATTTCATTGAGTTTTGTTCATAAATAAAGATTTTGTCATATATTACATATTTGTTTAATTTCTAAAACTATGATTTATATCAAAATTTTAATAAGGTCGCAGATAGCTACAACAATTTAGTCCATATTTATCCCTTAATATCATTTTTAGTTAGATATGGAAATTCTCGACCCTTTACAAAAAATTTTTTTTTTTTTCATATTTTAGTATTAAGTATGACAGAACATATTTAAATCTTATATTTACCTATTTTCTATTTGTTTGCTTATCCTTATAATTGAAAGGTCCTATTATGCTTAAATTTTCAGAAATGTATAACTATTTTTTACCTAAATTTTTTCGACAGATCATATCGTTCTGTTTCGTTTATGATCATGTAGGTAAAAATATACAGGTAATGATAATTTCGATTCATTCACTAATAAGAAATATCAATGACTGAATTACAGGTTATAGTAATATAGTCCTAAATGTTAATAGGTAGACAATTTGTAATTTTTTACTTTGAAATACCTGTATCGGAAATGACAAGAATTGGTATATAAGTAAACTTCTCAGATTTTAAGTACCATATTTAATAAATCTACAATGAAGATTACATTAAAGTACGAAGAGTTGTGTTCCGTTTTATGGAGTGTATCTTCAAAAGGGCCAGAAAGAATTGAAGACATTTCAAATTATATAAAAACTACATATAGTAGAAAAGTAGACAAAACAGGCATATCAAAAATTGAAAACTTTTTGATGTAAAAAGTAAGTTTGTGGATGGAAATTATAAGAAATTTCGATTAAAATTTTGTAGTTGGATGGAAACTACTACGGAAATCTCAACTTACAACACATCAACAGGAGCGCCTTGCAAGTCATACGAAGACTTATGTTCAAGGTAAAAAAAAGAGGGTCACACAAAAACTTTTTTCAATCTCAAATGAGGAAATTGCTGATACATTTAACGAAATGCTGAAAAAGGAAAACCAACCTATGGATGTCGTACATATTGCAACTATTCTTCCTAATGCATCACCAAAACTACTTAAGCGAATTGTGGAAAGTATACCAACTGCAACATCACAATCAAATTTTACTGAAGAGGAAGCAATAGCGCTTATGTTGGAACTAGGTCTCAGTCGAAATAAGTACCAAATATTAAGGAAAGCTCTGCATGAAAAAGGACACAATATATTACCATCATACAAGGCGATCCAGGAAAAAAAAAACAAACTATCCTACCATCACCTATTGCTGTTAATGATGTGGAACCTTGTATTGATATATCATCTTTGCTCGAAAACACAGCAACAATATTTTAATAATTTGTTTATATATTTTATATTTTTTAGTGAACACCGTCAACAACCTTCCAAAGCCAGTGCCAAAAATAACGGAAGCAGCAACTAAGAGGTCATTAAACTTGGAGGACTACAAAAAAAAAGGGGTCTTATTTAAGAAATGCTGTTAATAAATATGTATTATCTTACATAGTTTAATAAAATAAAAATTGAGTATCATATTATAAAACAAAAATTCGTTAAAGTATTATTAAAAGAAATGTATTTATGTATGTACATGTATTGGACTATAGCTATTGTTTGACTTCGTAGTTGATTTTAACATATTCTTTTAGTTTAGCAGAGAAAATATGAATATTTTATTGAAAATTTTCTGATTGTTGGAGCGATTTTTTTTAATTTAATTTTTGTTGTATATATTGAACTATTATTTTCTTGGGTGTAAAGAGAGAACACTCCACTTTTCTTATATTTATGAATAACTAGCTATACCCAGTGTGCTTTGCTACCCTAAAAGCAAAAAAATGTTCACATTAATGTCAAAGTTTCTTCATGTAAAATTTGAAGATTTTAGCTTCTTCAGTATCTCAGATATGCAAATTTTTCTATATAATTCATATGGGGGTTCCAAGCCACTCCCTGATGAATGTCCGCTTTTTTTCCAAAATGTTCAAATGAATATGAAAGTCCTTTGTGTAAAATTTTAGGCATCTAGTTCTGTTAGTTTCTTAGATAAATTTTTTTTGTATTTAATATGGGAGGTGCCTCTCCCCCATTGGTAGTCCGCCAATTTATTACCCAAAATATTTACGTGGATGCTATAGTTCTTCGAGCAAAATTTGAAGCTTTTGACTCTAATAGTTTCCAAGATAAACGAATTTTTGTATTTTATCAATATGGGAGATGCCACGTGGCTCTACTATGTGGCTCCGACAAAATTTGAGGACTCTAACTGTTATATTTTCTGAGATATACTGATTTAATATTTTCTTAATATGGAAGGTGTCGCGCCCATTTTGTCCAAAAATAATCTTATGGATGTCAAAGTTGTCCGTGCAAAATTTGAGGACTTTAATTGTACCAGTTTCCAAGATATACCACTTTTAATAGTTATTTAATAACTCAAAATAAAAAGTAACCTATTTTTCCTTGCAGGCCACAGTGGGGCAGAATGGAAATTTTTTGGAAATAAATCTGGCATTTCTAAACGGGATAAAATTTGGCGTGAGCGTAGCCAAGGAGTATTCGAGTATAAGTTTTGAAGATGAACCCTGCAGATGCCCTAGGGACGGCGCTGTGGCGGCTCAAAGTAGGGTACCTACGACATGTAAAATTTTTAAACTCGTGCCATTTTTTTGTTTTTCACCCAAAACAAAAAAATCGACGAGATCTTGAAAAAACATGCTTGGACATACTACTTATCTCTTATAATATCCGAGTTATAGGCATTTAAAAATTTAGTGATACAAAATTTACCATACCTTGGTCCGCCTTTTTTTGAATACCGGGCGTAATTTTGGACCAAATGGACTCAATTTTTTCTTGTTAGTTAGACAACAAAATTTCCAATAATATACAAAAAATTTCAGATCAATATCATTTACAGATCCAAAAATATACGTTTTTTAATTTAAAAATTCAAAAAATTTTAGATTTTTGCCGTTTTTTTGCCAAAAATGTGTCTTAACTCTTTTATTAATAAAATAAAATTTTCTTTAAGAACATATAACAATTTTATAGTTTTCTAAAAGGTATCTTTACGCAGAACGCTTTTGCGTAAAAAACTTGTCCTATTTTTTGAAAATGTTGCCACTGCGTCCTTCCGAATATGACCTATTTTTTATCAAAACTTCAACTTTGGGCGACATGTTCTAAAATCCCAAAGCTGGGATT